TATATGTAGTAACCTATTTATGTTTGTAATATTTAACTAAACAAATATCTTTAGAACTTGTAAAAATAAATAAAATATAAAATATATGAGACAACACATGTTTTCATTAAAATCATTAATTATATATCATAATATATAATATATATAAGCATGAGCAGTAATTTATTAAAACATTTTTAAGGTTAAGAAACTAGTACGCATGCGCTAAAAAATAGAAGCAAGCGCACTAATTTGTTACTACATTCAAGCAGGAGGGAATGAGGCACTTTTCTCCCTGACACAGATTCAAGCGGGCGGGAATGTGGCACTTTGCTCCCTGAAAACAGGGAGCAAAAACGAACTTTCGATCCAGATTTGAGAAAAATGTATGTTTCGTGTGTCTATACGACAAATATCATCCTGACAAATGTATTGATAAGGCATTCTAAAAAATTTATTTTTGTTACTTATTATATATATTTATCATGCTTTTATTCGATCAATAAATTACTCAGCTCAAGGTTGGTATCTAGGCGCTTAAAAATCAGGATATACAGGACAATCATCCTACCGATAGTCCTTTATGGTAGCGAAACATGGTCTCTTACGTTACGGGACTAAAAGAAATTTAGGGTTTTCGAAAACAAAGTTCTTCGTAAAATCTTCGATGCAAAACGTGATGAGGATATGGGCGAATGGAGAAAACTCCATAACGTAGAAGTACATCGACTGTACAACAAACCGGGCATATTAACGTCGTAAAATCGCTCCGATTAAGATGGGCTGGTCACGTAGCGCGCACGGATCGAACGGCGCGCAAAATACTGGTCGGTATTCCGAACGGGAAAAGACCACTAGGTAGACCGAAACGTAGATAGGAGGATAATATTAGAAGGGACCTGAAAGAAATAGGATACGAAGAACGTGAATGGAAGAATCGCGCTTAGGAACAGGAACGTGCTAAAGGCATAATGAATATTCTCAAAATCTACAAGTGTGCAAAATTTAAAAAAAATCAAAGGGGTTAGATACTATTATATATAACCACTGGTTATATATATATTTAGAGAGAGTGAAGGCTCCAATAGAGCGTGGGTCAGTGTCGGTAATCAAGAATAAGCCGTTAGGTATGCCAGGTCAAAAGTTCCAGTCTTTATTGGGTCTCTGTACAGAAAGTCGATATATAATCTCTAGTCGCTATCTCATTCGAATTCGAACTGATCGTCGTTCGGCTAGACTCGGCCCGGGGGGATCGGGCCTCCGGCGCGGTGCCCGTCTCGGACGACCGCGGCGCTGCTGAGCGCGCACCGCCACATATAGATACAATTTTTTCGGTCGGTACTGAATAGTTTAATCATTTATTTTTATAAAATGTTGATCAAATAAATAGAATTTATCGTATAATTATTTTTTTATATAATATAGTATATTTCATTGTACTCAAATGTCAGTAATTTTTGTACAATTTTATTCTTTTTAATTATGTGAATATATTTTATAACAATTCTTTGTCCGAATTTTCCATGGTATTATTTGTTTTTAGTATTCTTGTAATTAATTAGACTGCGATAAAATCATCTCTTAAAGCGTAAATGAAAATAGAGATACGCAAATGAGTTGGCTTGCCGTTCCATTAAAGCGCGACACGATTGCAAAAGGCATGCATGTTATAAATGCGTTTAGCGTCGTGTTGATCGATGTTGAAAGAGCTCTCTCACGACGTCAGGTAGTTCGGAAGGCGAAAAGGGATTTTTCGATTAAAAAAGATCGATCTTTTCTATCTGCATTGCTAAATGTATGACATGTTATAGGTTTAAAGAGACGGTTATAACGTCACACATCTTCTCGCGGCAAATTTGCGTTTCTTTTTCTCTCCCCCTGACTCTCTACCTAAGGTAATTTTAATTTATAAATATTAAAAGGGTAATCTAACCTTTCCTAAAGGTATGTCTTTATTTTTCTTTTACATACATGCTATTTATAGAAAAATAAAAATATATAGAACATTTAAATTGGATTTAGTCAGGATTGAGAATACGTGGTGCCATCTCGCGATTTTCATTCTAAGTTTTTAGGGGTAGGTTTTACAAGGATCATATAGATTCCATTTAAGTTATTGTAGGTTAGAATAATTCTTTTTTTGTTAACTAATTGCAACGCACAATTATATATCACAAATAAATGAGATTTAAAACCAATTCTGACAAAGAAATATCCAAAAAAGAATTTTCACATAAATTTTTTAACTTATAGTAAAAGACAACGTCAAAGAATTCATTAATATTATCCATAACAATTATCTTGTTAATTAAGAACTATCATAAAATTTACGCTTGTATCATATATCTTGTAACTTTTGTACGGTCGTGTCGGTGTTAACATAGCTGCGAACATGTCAACATACAAATATTCTCTTTATTGAATCTTATAACTTCACACCTTTTTTTCTTGGTTAGGTTAAGTTAGTTTGTAAACAAAGGATCAAAGTAAGTGCTACGGAAAGGCTCGGATATTTTTGTCAGAAAGAAAATCAGTAAAATAATATTCGGGGAAGCACTAAAATGAGACAGAAAAAATTAAACAGAGAAAGAGAAGGAAAAAGAAAAAGAAAAAAGAAAATAGAAAATATTATTCGAATCGATAAACTCACCCCTGAGAGGTTGAAAAAAATCTGCAAACGGAGCAACCCTCCAATCAAATCACGTTCACGACGACAATCACATAAATGAAAAATGGAATAATACTTTTTGCGAAAGCATAATACACGAATATGTAGGACAAACGAATATTTGTAATACGCGTATTTACATAATCGAAACTCAGGAGAATATCCTTTCGAAGGGTAAAACTCGCGAAATAAGAAAACGTTTCCGACGTTTTGACATCGCGTGCGCCATGGCGGTTGGCGAACAGCTGATTCAAAGGCGGGAGGAAATGTGACTAGGGGTTGTTGTAATTAGAAAGAAAGAGACAGAGAAATACGGCGTGGGTGACAGTATCAAGAGTAAGACGCGCCATCTTTCAATCGATTAAATTTTATTCGATATCTCGCCCCCCCCCCTGCAGCGCATGTTTCGAATTTTTAGATTTCATTTTATCACAAAGATTATTTGAATTTTATTATTTTATTTACGTTAGTTGTACAAACAAATGACTAAAATCGAATCGAAATTTTTTCGACGTCAACGATATTTTGTAATTATTTTTGTTAGTTTTTACGTAGATAATAGATTAAAACATACAAAGAGAGAAACAGTTTAAATACGCAGGGGATGATATCATTTATAGGGAACAATAATTCATATAAAAGCCTGTTGGATCAGCGTACGTTAACCGAAAAAATTGCACTTGGTAAGGTAATTCGAACTCTAGACACAAAGAGAAAATCCAGAACATAAACCAAGATAAGCCGGCACCAATATCGACAAGAATTTGCATTCAACGTGAACACGTATGTACATACATTCTCGGGTTGTACAAACGTATAGCGTACGTGCAACTAAGTAAGCCAATGCGTAAACATAGTAGAGACGATAACCCTCGCATCTAAGTAACGTAGCAAACGTTGCTAGCACAGCTTCTTTGTGGTTCGTACTAAACTGAAATTATAGAACACACGAGTAAACCGAGTAAACTAAGTTAACATTTTCTTGGAAGGTAAAAAAGTTTTTAGAGGTAAGTTAGAAAATTATATTAAAAAACCTCGTATTTTTTATGATACAACTATTTTCGTGTATGTGTGTATGTGTGTATAATAACATTAGATATAATCTTTTTTATTTCTAATAAGCAAGCTACCATAAGTTAAAAGACATAGACCATGAAGGTTGTGAGAATTTTTCATCATAAAGGAGATTGTGGGTATGTATTATCTAATGGCTGATGAAGCACGAGCACGTTGCAATTATTTATAATAAGTATGACATCATAAAACGACGGTACTCGTCACATTTAAATCGCGAAGAAAATATTTCGATAAACGAAATCCTTTGAAATTTATCCTCATAGATCCATTTCCTTGACAGTTATAAAACACGATATGACAAAGATAAGTATATATATTTCAAACTCGAAGGTCGATCAATCCTGTCAGTAACATCTTTTTGTATCCCACGTAAAATTAATATAGTTTGATAAGCATAAAACTCTAATCGACGTGTTTGATCTTAAACATTTTCAAATTAGATAAAAATGTTTGTAAAATTTCAATTATATTGTATGTGTATATGTGTGTCGCGATCGATCTTCATCCAGTAACATCTTCAGATACGAAGAAAAAAAATTTTAAATAAACATAACATATGTTCATTTGATATTTAAATGAAGCTATTGCTATTCATTAACCATGCAACACGACTCACCGTACTGCATTCCTTGAACAAAATCATCAAGTATTATGATAAAATTCTTACCCCGTGAATCTCCATTTTCTCCGCATCTGAATCTTTGCTTCATCATTATAAAAATATACATAGGAATGTGATCAAAATATTTAATTTATTTATTATTGTACTCAATGTTATTTTTAATGACGCAGGTACAATTTTTAAATGGTACAGTCCTGAGAACGATGACACACTCTCATTCACGTAGCGTAGTTCCTCGGGTATACGTGGTAGTACGAATTTTGCGTTTACACGAATATACTCCAACTTGTATGGACGCAACAGGCGGCATCGCACGCAAACGAAGTTTATAATGATCGTACAACGTGCGGTATAGGCGGTTTTCTCCCACCACTTTTAATCGTAATCTAAGTATTAGGTCTGTATTCCGAATTATAAGCACCATGTTTATAACTCTTTATGTAGAATAACAAGTTTATTAATAATTTATTAAAAGATTATAGATAAGATAAGGAGTCATGTACTTGAGGTGTATTATAGTATACATTATTATATAATAATTAAATTTACAATTAATAAAAAATACATTATACAACAAAAGACTATTCTTAACAATTAATTATAAAAATATGTACAAATAAAATTTGGTCCAATTTTTTTGTGTACGAACTTGATCAAACAAGGTTCAATTTTGGGCCTGATATAAGAACCCTAATTTCGTCCGTCACTGGGTACCCAGTAAGCCTCTTATAAAGCGAACCCACGCGTCAACTGAAGCCGCATACCACGGTGGCGCGTCTTTCTCGAATGTGGACAGTAAAACACAATTGTTTTCAATTCGATCCACGCGTACGTTTAAGGCTTCGTCATATTCGTTATCGTCGATTTATTTATTAACAAAATTCTTCTTTGAAAGTGTTGTGTAAAGTGTGTTGTGTTTATCGGACTTGCTTGCTAGTCAGTCAGCCATCCAGTCAATTAGAACGAAAGCAATCGAACTAGCAACGATGTTTTACTACTTTGAGCGTGGCTTAGAAATGCGAACGATCGTTCGTAAATTGAATCATAGTGGTCGGTGAAATAAGATCATTGAAATACGTTCTGATGCTATTGCTACTGCATCAGGTGGTCAGAAAATTGCCATTGCGACTGTCCTCTAATGACCTTGAATATCATACCTATAATCTTTACATGTGCGAGATCTTAAAATTAACACCGGACAGTTTTTTTTCATTATCTCACTCGTATACTTCAAGAACAAAATAAATACGCAGCATTTTGAACATTCTGAAAAATAAATGGTACGTATACAACAACGCTCGGGATCATCAAAGATCGTGGATAGGATATTGATATCTAATTAATATTGTAGTAATCTTTGGTAATCCTACCTCAACGAGAAAATGCGTATTAGTCATTTTTTGTCTAAACTCGTAGTAGAACCTTTTCCGATCGATACCTGTATTAGGTATATACCTGAAGCGTGAGATACAAATCGAAACAGGTGTACGGTTGCTAAGGTAAGACTTTTATTTTTCTTGTCTTGAGAAAAAGTTAAACAGACCATTAAGAGTCTCTCAATGACGTATCTTAAATCGTTGCTGTCGTTGTTATTGCTATTGTTGCTATTGCATTAGTGTCAATATATTTGGGGACTAACATTATTATTGTTACACGAATTTATCATAGACTGTCATATGTAATGCGTTTTAAGATATAGAGAATAACAATTGTCAGGGTTTATTTTTATTTTATAGCAGATATGTGTTTATCGATCCGTAAAAAGAATGTATTTAATAATTTAACGTATACACGTGTATCAATCGATATCGATTTCTTTAATCGGACATAGAAACACTCTTTTTTGTTCATTAATTAAACATTTATGCCTACGTATATTGAATACTTCGATAAACACCAAGATCAACCAAACTGATAATAGTTAGATTAAAGCGTTTCGAAGAATTATTGTTTAATCTTGCGTGAAACAAAATTCACAACCAGTTACTAACGTGATCGTAATAATTTATAACAAATACAAAAAGACCATGAACTATAATGTTACATATATGTCAAAATATTGATATTCTTTACACACAGCAAAGCACATCAATATTCTTATTCCTTCTACGTACTAACATAATCGTAATGATCATCTAACAGTAAGAACGATATTTTTCAGAGAACAACACCGGATGTCTACCTTTGGTAGTCGATTTTTGTTATCTCAACGAACAATCGTCCAGAATCAATAAGAGTTAATCAACGATTTGAAAAATAATTCGTTAGAACGAATATCTTAGAAGAGAAACAATATGGCCTTGGCAAAACTTAAAAGTTTAATCGACAATGGTTTAAAAAATGTGTCGACGCCTTTGGATCGTACCGTTAATTTAGAACCGGAAGTAGGCATCAGAATTGTCCATTCGCCAAACGAAAAAACTCTCTGCGTAACCGTCATTGGTGCTAGACATCTACCGCAAAATTTTGGATTCACCAGAGTCAACAGTTACGTCGTTAAGGTGAATCATAAAAGAATTTATGTTACCCATTATATTACATAACAATACAAGAACAAGGACATAGATCGTATGTTTTGTTCGATAGAGAGAAGATTGCAATTTCAATATTTTGTATTTCTTCGATATAACTAAATTTGCAGATTTCTTGTTGTAATTTCATTTATCTAAGCTATTGTATTCTATTCAAGGACACACATTGAAAATTCGAAAAGAATATTTTGTTTTTAATTTTGTTGAGAATGACCGAATAATGTAAATTTCAGGTGAAGCTGATACCGAGTAAAGAAAAATTCGAGACTACGACGAGGAACGAATCCTGGCCACGTTGGAACGAAGAATTCACTTTTCATTTGCGAAAAGAAACGAAAATCAAGTTTGGTAAGTCGAAAGTCGTCGAGGAAGAAATAAATGGTTCGAAATTCATCGTAGTCACGCTCTACGCCATTCTCGAAGATAAACCTTTGATTGCTACGGAAAAGAAGGAGGCAGATAAGGAGAAAAATTTATCTCCTATGAAAGAGTGTGCAAAGAAGACTAGTAAAAAGGGTCAGGAAGGATCATCGAATGATCATCAAGATGGTTGCAAGAATAAAATATTTGGTCAATTTTTTAGTAAAGGACAAGAGAAAAATTTCGAAGATCAAATAAGCGAAAGGAAAATCTTTGACAAAAGACGAACAGTCGGTGCTGTTACGATATCACTCGATTCAAAAAACTTTACGATAAAACCACCAAAACCGAAACACGCCAGTGATGTATCAACCGGTGAATTGTGGAGACCACTCAAACCGATCAGCAGTGGTATTGCTGTTGCCGAAGACAAAGTTAGATTCTTTTTTTAAACTATTACTTTTCAATCATTCACATAATTCTAAATTTTTATATATTTTTGTTCACTTAATAAAGCTTTACCATTATTTCAGAAAGAAAATAAAAAGGGAAAACTCGAGTTGTCCCTTTGTCTGGAAAAAACGGACAAAAAGGAAGAAACGAGTGGAATTTTGGTATTATGTCTCCATCGTATGAGATGTTCATTACAAACAATGCACGAACACGAATTATTGAAAGGACAAATGTACCTGAAAATGTCAGTCATCGAGAGCGGCAGGATAACGCATTTTTGGAAAAGCGGTCGTTTCGGTCCTTGCGTTTCGATGAAATTTTCACCAGACATGGCTAGGGTCTCTGTAGAAAATCCTTTCGATGGTGCACTCAAGGACGTTAGCTTCGTAATTAAATACGTCTCGAAAAATAAAATGGGTACGATCCTGATTGTAATATAACTTCTTCTCTTCGGTATCGTTTGAAACGTTGCCTTCTCTACTTGTTGCACAAATTGATTAATCAAGTTAGCTAAGAGTTAAGCAATAACGTCTAGTTAAACGAATCTTCCTTTACGAACGAACGTATATCTAATACTTTTATCAGCTTGACCTTAATAATATTCTTTATTATTATCGAAAGACATTTTTATTCAAGTATCACGCAAATTAATATCTGTATCAATGGTTATTTTTCTAATCGACGTTTTTAATACGCAATTAAATGGTTTTAGGTAAAAAAACGACAGTTGGTCATTTTGCGATTGGACCCGACGTTGGTGGGCCTTACGCCGAGCAATGGAAACAAGCACTAGCGAAACCAGGACAACAAATAACGAAATGGCAATCATTTGAGTAAAAGTGCAATCTTCTAATCAACTTATTTTTATTCCGTTTTATTCTTTTCTTTTTTACTTAGAAATAGATTTTCTTCGATATTCGTAGAAAAGATTGTTTATATAATGGAATTTTATAGTTTGCATACTGATAATATTAACCGTCTACTAAAAATATTTTTAAATAAGAAAAGATTAAATTAACATGTTAAGCGCCATACTCATTTTCAAGGAAGTCCCCGTCAGGCCACGCTCATTTTCAAGGAAGTCTCCGTCGGACCATAGAAATATCGTGTTATACGCTGTCAGCCAGCGGTGGCTGACGCGGCCTAAACGGAAAGTCTAGTGTCCGCTACTGATGGCGGACGTGGCGCTCAACGTGTTAAGAGGTATTTGTTGATAACAATGAAGAAAGCTGACTGATAAATTTTAAAAATCAAGATATAGAGAGAATAACTGTGATTTGGTGTTATTTAATTTTAAATATACTAAATTTTGGAAATTAAATTGTTATTAATTGGTGATCAAGGAAATTTAATTATAATTACTGAAGTTTGATATAAATTATTGTTACATATCCGTTTAACAGTAATCTTATACAGGGCTTCTCTAACTTTTTCCTTAAGCAATATCCTTTACCTGAACAAATATTTAAAAAAAAAAAGGCACTGTTTATAGACTGTATACTATCTTTTCTTTAACTATCATAAAGTCATAGACATACTACACCTGTAATGTAGTCAAACTGATTTTAAATTAATTTTTGGTTGTTTCGTATCTAAGAATTTTTTACAATTTTTACATTTTGTACAAGTTTTTACGACTCTAAAATTTATTTAAGTGACGCCGTACGGGGTAACGAGACACTTTGAGAAGCCCTAATTGAATGAACGTGATTGTAGTGGTCATATTAACTAGTGATGACGTCCAAAAATAAATATTATATTTAAGATCTATTGTCGCGCAAAATATGTATTTTTTATGCAACATTATATCATAGACGTATTTCTATTTTTTCATACAAATAATAATATAAATGTTTAATATGTGACATCGATAAATAAGTAGACGCAGCTTTAACAGTTAACGTATGCTTATGGGTGGTGCCATTTTAATTTAATGTATATATTATTTGACTTGTTTTATTTTCCTCGAGTATAAATGTAATTATCGAGATATGCGACATTATGCGTGCAGAGAGAATTATTTTTAAAAATTCGATGTGTGTATTATTAATAATATATTTTATTCTATATATGTGTATTTAATATCTTTTTTTAATCTTCGATTTATTATTCATTACAGATGTATAAAGTATTTGATTATTATAAATCTTGGACGGATTATTGATTGTCTATTATTATACAATATTATCAACATTGCTTGTGTGATATTCACACAGTTGATTTAGTAAGTAAATAACTTTCTTATACAAAAAAAGAACGTCATATATATGTATAAATTAAAAAATCTTTCATACAAACTTTCCAATATTACTAAAGTTAATTACATGTGTCTTTATGTAATTAACGATCTAAATTAAAAACTACTCTGATTGTCAAATCAGACTAATGCTAAGCTTGTTAAATCTGTCATTTGTACTGACATGGAAAACTAGTTTTTCGAGTACAGTTTTTAGTACTAGTGAAAAAATTACTGCATATATAAAAACAGATATATCTTTTTGGTATAAAATATTTATAAAAAAGAATTGTGCTTGCGAAAGAGTTAAGAGAAGACATGCTACGCTTACTCTTTGTAAATTATTTTTTATACAAAGATTCATCATCGTTGTGCATAAGTACTAAATACTTTTTTTTATGTTTATGGTACAAAGGCACTCATAGAATATTTTTAAACTATTTAATGATTCAGATCTCTTTCGTTAACTTTGGCAGCGATTCTTAAAAAAGATGAAGTACATAATCTAATGGAATTACCATAGTAAGTAATAGCAGTAGTAAACTTCCATGATCCTTAGGCGCCGAGTTACACCCATCTTTACTATTGCATGTACAATATTCCAGAAATATGTTATAAGTTCCGGTTCTCATTAGACAAAAGCGTTCATCTCCCGCTATTCCTGGTTCACCCATATAAGCACAACTACGAAAGTATCTCCATTCACCGTTGACTACGTATCAAATATAAAAATAAAAGAATAGGAAAATGATACAGCTTAAGAAAAAAGTAAGTATTCTAACATATGATTCACCTTTTTGACGTATTTTACGACACATGGTAGGTCGTACACCCTTCAGATGTTCCAAATCTGGTTCTTGCTTACAATCTGTGATTGGAACTGTTGAATTATCAAAAGGATCTGCACATTTTGGATCAGAGTCGGATCTGCATACCCAACATTTTATGGAATAACCTACAAAATTTAAATATATGTATTATTTATGAGTTGATTAATATTATAAAAAAGTAAAAACAAAAGTGTTTCATAAATACACGTATAATTAATTAATAGTGCCACATTTATAGGTTATATTATAAGTCAAAAGTATAAATATTCTCTTGTTTAATTTAACCTCACCTTGTTCGATGCAACAAATTAGGATAATTAGTGCTGCAGTCAAGCGAATTACATTTGTCGAAGTCATTCCGAATTAAATAATAAAACATTCAAACAAAAATATCACAAAACTGACGCCCAAATGTACACGCCTTCAACTAGCGACGCTACAGGTGAAATACACACAAAATTCTGTAAAGATTGTTGAAATTTCATAATTTTTTAATATTTTATTAAATTAATTAATTATATTCTTGCAAAATCATTAACTTACTTATAAGTACAATTAATTGATATCACAACAATTAAAATTACCATCTAGTCACACAAAATATTAATATATAAAATAATAAGAATATAAACGGGGAATCAATAGTTAAAGCTACGTCAGTGACTCGATCGTGTTCTTTCGGTTTGAATCGAGTCACGTGATCATTACGAGTAGAGCCGCGCCCGAATAGCGCTTAATTTCATTGCACGTTGTTTTTATAAGACAAGGAAGGAGAAGTGGAAAGAAGAAGGGAGGAAATGGGAGGACATAATTATAAACACATTTATTAGTAAACGAAGAAGAAATTAGAGTCAAATGTTTTACAAATTACAAAATCAAATAATTACTATCAACTTATAAAACATTTTTGAAATTTTATTTAAAACTTAACAGAAAATTAAATTTTAATCTATTATTATTTGTGATGTGAAAATAAAAGAAAAGAATCATATTAATTATTTTATATTTGAAAGATAGGAAGTAAAAGTGTTAGAAAAAAAGAATCGAAGAAGAGAGTGTTTTCTGTTTGTTCTAGAAGAATGAAAGTGAGGAGTTGAAGAGGGAAAGGGAGAATAGGGTCAATCTTGTGTAGCGAAGGAGAATCGAACGCAAATTTCGCGGGTGGTCCATCCTTGGAAAGGAGGCTCAGTCTGGGAGCTGGGGAAACATTTGAATGCTATAAATAAATATAAATAAATTGATTTACCGGCATTAGCATAAGTAGCAGGGGAAGAAGAGAGGTTGCTGGAATCGTTGGGCTCGCGCTTCTCTCTGTGCTTTTATATCTTTCACCCTCTTTCCTTCTTTCCCTCATTCTGTCTCTCTTTCTCTTTTTCTTCGTCTTCCCCTACTTTCTTACCGGTAGAAGTTGCAGACAGTGATTTATACACGATGTCCCTTAGGCCGGCGCGACATTCAAGCGACCAAGAATCGTTCCTTTAACTTAAAAGGATGCAAGGACTACGAAGCATACGGACGAGCGTCTGCCTCGTCTCTCGAAGTCACACGCGTGGGAATTAATTCCGTGATTCGATGGGGATGGAAAGAACTTTAAGGGGATGTTCTTGCCAAAAAGAAAGACACAAACAAAAATAGAATCAGTCTTTTTCTGTTTCTATTTTTTTCTTCCTCTTTCTTTTACTTTCTCGTTTTTGCCTGTTGTATCGTTAAAACGGAACAAGTACGCGGCATGTAACGAGACAAAGAAACAGCGTGAAAAGCAAATTTGAAGGTGAACTCGCTTAAAGCTACTACTCCGTAAATCGTTTATTGTAATATAATATAATTGCACATGTCTAATTTGCCTTACAATTTTCCTTCGTCTTCCACCCTTTTTTTATTCTCATCGAGTCCTTCGCGTTGTTATTATCATCTTAGCGAGCTATTGATGCGTAAAAGTAATACTTCGTGCTGCTTCGTAGATCAAGCGTGAACAATTCTAACGTTGTTGTTTGATAAAGCGTTAGGTATAATATATATATTTACAATAGATGATAGGATAGTTAACGAAATGATCGTTTCATCGACATTGACTTCCTTCAAACGTAACTAGAATCGTTAAAAGAGTATATACAATACTTGGTTGTTCTCGTTTGTAAAATAACACGATGATTATATAGAAATACTTTTATAAATTTTTGTTTATTTATTTTTCTCTATTAAGATTAAACACGTTTATTATGCAAGCTTAGGAATTACGTCAATTTACAGGAATGGAAAGAGTCACGTAAAAAGGTAAAATTTTTCTTTCGATATTTATTATTAAGCTCCTCGAACGTGCTTTATATATATATTAAATTTATCACTTTGATAAAAGTCGAAAGCGATAACGGATCTTTCCACGATTAGATACACCTGCGTTCCGTTACGCGTGATTAATAATACAAGCACATACGAATGCGAATGATTACAATTATTTATTGCACAGATAACTGTGGTACTTGAAAGGATTCGTATCCATGAATAAAAGGATTTTATTACAGGGAAAGGGTAAAGGTAATAGATATATATTATAAATATATAAAAGCGTACGCGAACGTAATAACTAGTTAAGAATAAAGTAGCGTGATCGTCTTAGCTTTCAAAATGATGGGTAAATGATTTAAAATGTCCTCACACAAGAATACAGTTTTATAAACCGATATCGGTTCGGTCCGCCTCCGAGCTGCTTTCGAATGCAACCGTATCGTTTCGTGAATCAGCACACCACTTAGGCTCAAAAAACGGCTCTCGTTTCACGAACAAAATCACTGGCCCTTAAGAGGCGTGTACCGGTTCTTATTTTTTTCCAAAAAGCGGATAATTTCGTGCAATCTTCTACGAGACCGAGGCGTGTCTCGACCACAGGGATATTCCGGTAGGTAACTACACATTCTACGCACGTGTGTGTGTGTGTGTGTGTCCGAATCCTTCGAATGACCCCGCTTTGTCCTTCCATTCTTCATTTCTTTCAGAAACGAAGAAATTTGAAATGTTACACGTGGCTCACATTTTCTAACCGATACAAAAAAAAACATGCGTAGAAAAACAAATCACTCTCTATTCTAAAGAAGTTTTCACTTCAAATATGATCACATTTAAAATACGAACACTATACAAGTCTAGTAAGTGAATATCGGAAAAAGTCTTCCAGTAACTCACTTATCATTTGTACGTAATAGACATATAATTTTAACGACTTCCAAGTAAACGGTCATTTTGTCGCTTGTCTGTTTCTTTTTCTCTAATTACTGCATCAATTGAAAACGTAATAACTGCGAAGAAGAAATTCGTAATCGAGACGAGACGCTGAGTCTGAGGCGAACATTCGTCCATTTGTTCGGAGTGTGTGCACAAGGAGAAAGAAATAAAAAAAAAAGTCAAGTCGAGAAGCGCAAAAAGAATACGTTGACAGAATGAAATGTTTGTCTGGCGATTTTTACAAGTTGAGATGGGAACTAAAGTTAGACGTCATCGAACGATCGCCTAAGTTATTTCTAGAGACGCTGTCACGTAAGTAAGTAAGTAAGTATATTTCTTCGCTAGATTTCTTACATATCTTTTATTGTCATTCAGAAGGAGGAAGAGGGGAGCTGCGAGTTCGAGTGACCCAGATCGTCGTTCAGTCGTATTAAAAATGATGGAGATTCGAGTGGGGTCATAAGATGTGTTGTGCTTGATTCGTGACTTCGATTGTTAGATCATTTGTTATTCAAAACATTTAATCATATTTTACGAAGATAATATACACTCTTTATTTCTTTTTTCATCGATTTTTGGCGATTCGCAATTGAATATAATTAAACGATGTAGTCATTGAGTTAGATCAAAGACAGATTCTACGTATTTATTATCGAGTTATTGATTCTACCAAAGGAATCCTTAGAATCTTGAGAGTGAAGAGGAGAGGAAGAGAAAATAAAAAATTAAAGAAGGAAGAGGAAAGCTCGATGAAGAGCGCGTGTCGCACGAGTACCCTATCGATACCCCACCAACCGAAGAGACTCGCCGGTAGAATCACCCTCCGCTTCTGTAGTTGACTCGTATAGGACGTCAGCAGCCAACAGCTAACAGTCAGTAGTAGCAGCAGCAGCAGCAGCAGCAGCCGCAGCAATAGCAGCCACTTCTCTCGGCAACCTCCGTTGATACTTACCCGCGCGTGTATCTCTTCAGTCGGCTCGGAGCCACGTGCGTGTGTTCGAGAGTGGCTCTTGTCGTGACGTTCGAGTCTTCTACGAGTCTACTCGACTCTCTCTCTCCTCCTTCTCCTCCAACCCTTCTTCTTTGTCCTCTTTTTTCATCTCTTTATTTTCTTTTCCCATTTTTTTCCTCTTTCCCTTTTTTCTCTTCTCATTTTCCCTTCATTCGATATTTTCTTTTTCTTTCGTTTCCAGTTACTCTCCACAATTCTTGTTTAAAACATCGTCTGTCTTGTGCCACCCTGACGAACAATTTCGTTTTCTTCTTCTTCTTCCTGTTCCTCTTCTTCCTATTTTTATGTTTTCCACAATTAACAATCAGTGACTTTCAATGGTTCAACGCGTATCTTCAAGTAAAATACTCCAGCAAAGAACCATTTGGAGATTCCCACGTTTCTTTGGAAACAATCATGAAGAAAGTGTATAAGGAATCATTGAAATTTTCGTGAAAACCACTTTGGACAAAAGATACTTCTCGGAGGTTAATTCTTCGAGGGACACGGAGTCTCTCGAGCAGATGGTGTCGGTCAAAAGGGACTAAAAATATCAGTCGGTTCCGCGGTCGCAACGCAAGTATCTTTTCTCATCTTCCTTTCCTACTCTTCACTGGAGGATTTCTGTGACTGGAAGAAGAGAAAAAAAACTACATGGTATCCTGACTATTTTCTCTTTCTCTTTCTGTCTCTGTCTGCTTGCCTTTGATCTTACTTAAGCGTAAGTGTATAACACAAGGGAGGAAGAAGAAGAAACGAATCCAGGAAGTAAGAAATACGTTGCGAGTCAACGAAATTCAATGACTGAAGGTCTTTCAAGAGAAATTAGCTCCTTCTATTCAAGGAAGATTTGTCGGTTTGTTATTGCGACAGTTCAGATAACGTCTGTCTATCTTAACTATTTTATACAACAATCAAATATTCGATTTACGTATTCTACAATACCGTAGTCAAACTTTCATAAGAAAAAAAGAAGTTCATTTATCAAGTAATTAATCTTGATCTATTATCTCTTATTTTTTTTTAGGCAAAATAAATATTGAAAGTAAACAGAATTAAGTTATGAAGAATCAATTATCGAGTTATTTATAATCTAACATAAGCAAGTTTGAATCGCAACTGGGGATCTGTTGTGCTTTTAGTGATACCGAAGCTAGAAAGAAAGAAGTTTACTGCCCTTCTTGTTACTTTTACTTCTACTTCTGCCTCCTCCTCCTTTTTCTCTTCTTCTTCTTCTTCTTCTTCTTCATCTTCTTCTTCGCGGTACAATGTTTTACGGTAGGGAGGCGGTTGTTTGAAATTCTTCTGGTGGAGTCGCGCTTCTGTATTTATAGAGCCGCACCGCGTGTCGAGGGAGTACGTAGGGCAGCGCGCGTGTAGGTACGCAGAGGTTCACTGATGTGAGAGGGTAAAAGTAGAAGTAGAAGAACAAGAAGAAGAAGATCAGAAGAAGATCAGAAGAAGAAGAAAAAGAAGAAGCAGAAGAAGTAGCTTTCAAGAAAGGGAAGAAGAAGAGTAGGAGGGAAAAAAGAAGGAGGAGAAGGGAAAAGACAAAGCGTGTGCGCGACACGTCGCGATCATGACGCGATGCGTCCGCGACGGAAGCACGCGCCCGCTTCGACGACGTGCTCGCCCACCGCGAGATCCTCCAAGCTGTTATCCTCTTGGTCCTCAGCTATGATCAACAGGATCACGCTCGCTCTACTTCCGTTCTTCCTCATCGCCTCGAGTTATTCACTCGAGGATACTTCGGTAAGTTCCTTCTTCGGATTATTTGATTTATTCACCATTCTCATTTAACATTTATTCTTTGAATAATTTATCGATCATTTAATAAATAAAATATTAATAGTATGTCAAATTCATTTTTAAATATATCACACATTGTCAAATATTTTTTCAATTTGTTGGTTTGACATTTTTGAAAAATATGTCTGTCTCGTATAATCATGTGACATAATGTGACAACGATGTTACGACTTTGGATATAAGATAGGATCCCGAAGGATTAAAATAAACGCGGGTCTACAAGGTCGACCGTCTGCGCTCGTCTGACGCATTCAATCGTTTTCTAAAAATCTTTCGTGAACTTTTTCCACTTCTCTTCTTCACTCACTTACTCATTCACACACACACTCTCTCTCTTTTTTCTTTCTCTTTTTCTATTTCTTTTTATTTTTCTCTTATCCACAAATAGATCTCGACAAAGTTCATTCTAAAAATAATCATCTATCTATATATCGAAATATATGAGTAAAAGTTTCTGTAGTAAAGGGGAAGAATTGAAAAAAAGTTTAGAAGTTAGGTAACACTTGGTTATCGCGTGCAAAGTCGGTCTAACTCTTCTAGCAGTTAAATCAGGAAGAGTTCCGCTTCGAGGTACAATACTTTGGGAGTCGATAATTCTCAAGATCGTGAGGCAAGTTTCGTACACCATAACCGCGAGCAAGGAATATCTCGGTGTCGTGTTACCATAGAGTACTTTCTTTGCTCGATTGATTTCGTCGATATAATCTCTTTAAAACGTCACTAAAGATATTTGATTATCATCAATAACAATTAATTATCAACTAATATATATATATAACAATTAAAATTTTCTTTATGATAAAAAGACGAAAGTTAAACAATTTCACTTTGGGTGATACATTTACCTAGTATCAAAGTTATTGAAATTTCAGGAAATAGAAACTGGATAAACATTTTCGTAGCAATCTAACACTAATATCTTTATGTTAATTTGATTAGAATTATCGTAAGCTTAATTGTCATTATCGAAAAAAATATCTTTGAAAAACTTAAAGAAACCAGGAACAGAGTTTAGAGATATTTTGTAAGATCTGAAAAATATGATATAATATGACTTAGATAAAAGACAACCTTGATTTCATTTTCTTTTTGCTTTTAGATCTAGGCATGCCAAGGTAATTACAGTAATTTCGTTTCTCAGCATTTCTCAAATTCCACCACGAATGATCTTGTCGGACGTCCCTCTTATGTTAGAAAGAAAGCACTAATATTCTAAACATACGTACTCTGTCGTCTTCGTCTTCGTCTTTATTAGTTGGCGTAGTCTTTGTTGTTATAAACATTGAGTCTTGCTGAAAGCCAATAATATTGTCAGATGTTATCATCGTAATCACTTAACGAGCACGCTTTACTTTTCTAAATTGTAAGTAATGCGGTATAATGTCGGTGTAAAGTGTCGACGTTTCGCAAACTGCTTTTTCAGGACACTAATCACCGTAATTTCCTCCTCGTCGCCAACAACCATACCAAATTATGTTGAAATCTTTTAATTTTCATTTCATTTTAAATAACAAAATTCGTCTTACCTATCCACCTATATGTACATAAAAACATGCACAAGTGTATATGCATACGTGTATTGTATTTCTCAACGATAGGATGCAAAATAAGTATGACGTTTCTCGAATAAAAACGAAAACGCTCGAAATTGCCCGACTAGAAACTAACTGCTCTCTCTCTCTCTCTCTCTCTCTCTCTCTCTCTTGAAAAAATTAGTCTGCACTTTTTCTTTCGAGTCTGCTAATTTGTACGTGAGATAAGATAACTAAGGTGTGTTGTTGCAGTATACAAGTAAAATTAAGAAAAAAATATAAAAAAGTTAAAAGAAGTAGAATGAAAGAAAAGAAGAGAAGGCTTTATATTTAGTAACTCAACTGTCACGTGCCTCTTCAGTTACATACAGGACGCGTGTTAAGCGTGAGCATATCGTATCGTTCGTGTTCGGCTTTACGGCAAATCAAAAATATGTAAGATTATTCCTGGCGAGAGGTTATCAGACTTGCAAACATATACAAAAAAAATTTACACATACACACACATAAGAATATACACTTCTCGAACCTCGATAGCGACCAGCTGGTAAGGATCGATAATGGTTGCCATCCTGTTCGCTCGACGAAAAGGTTCTCAAGAGGACAGAAAAAGGCAGACGATATATGAGAAAAGAAGAGAAAAAAAAATCTATTGGAAAGGATCAAACAATAAAAGAAGAATAGGGGAATAGATAGTTCTTCTTATCTGTTTTCCTTCCTTATCGGAAATCAACAACTGTTTAATAAGACGATTTGTGGTACAAATCTCTAACAATAAGAGATAGCCTTCGCATCTTTTCAACAACAGCAGAATGTATTAACATTTATATCCCCTCTCTTTCTATTTTGTTTCTTTTCTTTCTTATCTCAAATCTCTACCTTTTCTTAAATGCTGTCATTTTTTTCTTGTTTTAAAATACGTCGAATTTTTTATCTACATTTTTTCTAAGATATTCATTGTTATTTGCACGTTATCGTAAGTTAATTAGTTAACTCGGTAATAAATTCATTACGAGAGTACCTTTAACGATATACCTTGGTCTCCAGTAGTTTGGCTTAAAGTCAATATATAACATCAGAGAAGTGAAAGAGAAAAATATATATACATATATCGAAAAAAAAAGGAAGGAGCGTGTTCCTTCATTCACGTGTAATTTTACGCGATGCGAACGTCAAGAGACTTGGGAGTTGATTCACGAGAAAGAGGAAGATGGTGTAGGCGAAATGGTGGGGGAAATATGTGTCTCTGATTTCTACGCTATAGTAAAACGACCACGGTGAGGCGTCCCGCGGTGAGTTGAGTATCCAGGCTTGGCGAATCGTTCGACCAAGTCTAACAAGTAAACTCGTTTTTTCCTTATTTCATACATTTATTTTTTATTATCTTTTAAACGACGTATAAAACATTTTCAATGGTGACCATTTACTAATTAATAGGATTTTTGGTTGATAATTGTATAGAAAGAAAAAAAGGGGAAAAGAAAATACAAAAAGAGAGACATGATATATCTTAATCAAAGAAGAAAGAAACCAAGAAAAGAGGGACAACTTTCTATGGTCTCTTGAGAATCTTTTACGTCTGACCTCGAAGCATGTCTTCTCTCTTTGCGCGCTCGGCACCCTGTGGAGAAAACTTCCCGTCACGGAATGGTCCTTCTTGCGGATGCTGTTGCTGCTGTTGCTATTGCTCTTGCTTTTGCTGGCTGGACCGTACCGTTCTTCGATTACCGTCGAGAATCGTGCTTGTCGGTATAAGTTAGACCACGAAAGTACGGATATATTCAATGAGAGATAGATAGATAGATAGATAGATAAGTTAAAATATATAGAAATAAAAAGAGAAAGATAAGCAAATATACACGTTAAATGGGTTTTCCTTTTGTAAGGAAGCGTAATAATCAAAATGAACATACAAATTATGATTATCTTATATAATATTTTATGGAAATAATCAAGTTTAGAATTCATTTAATAACATTTATCATTTCTTTACTTTCACTTTCCGTTAAGTCGACAATTTTTTACTTGTAATTTCCGATCGTTTATTTATCAAATCTTTCCGCATACTGTCATTCCGTTTTATATCGAGCCTTTCTATATCATTGTAACGCACATTTCCGATTAAATTAGATTTATATTTCTTTACTGGTCTAAATTAGCTTGAAAAAAAAAGGATTAGTACGTTGACCGCCACGCTAATTTTCAAGAAAATCCTCGTGAGGCCGGCGCGCGCTGCTATACTACGCTACACAACAATGCCGAAATATAACGATACTGTGTCAATAGATACTTATTGGAATAAAATATTACATTTAGAAAGAAATTCTTATCCTATGGGGAGGATAATCTTTTTTGGATGGACATTTTTCGAAATATTTACTAATATACCTTGTAAGTACTAAAAAAAGCGTCAGCTAAATACGGCCGATTTGGCCTGATCAGAATATTTGCTGTCGGCCATATATGGCTGACATGGCGGTCAACGTGTTAGAAGGAATCATTTGTTTTTTATTTACCTGAATAAATTATTAGTCGTTTAGGAATGTTCAAATCAACACCTTTCAACCCCATCGCTTACATAAACATAAACACGTATACTACGAAACTATGAAACCTTCCAATTTCTATCGTTTTTTCGAATGTTCCAGCAATTAGTCTGCGATCAATACAATGCACTTTAACCTTTACGATTTCACCTGGCAGGATATTATTCGTAACGAATTCAACTTCTCAATGGAATCCCATAAATCTGTCGAGTTTCTACTGGTACTTTTCTATACAGGATAAAACCATAAAGAGAATAATATCTTGGAACATTGACTTTCTCTATCTAAGGAATGAAATGAATCGTCGATATTATAGAATTTTTGCTTTACTTCGAACTATCCGTTTCTCTGGTCTGTCAGGTAGAATTTGTAAAGCAGTACCACAGGGACCGAAGTATGTTTAACAGCGGAGATTACATTTCTCAAGAAGCCAGTACCTTGTTACTCCTTAAAAGATGACTAAACGATAAGCTCGTCTTTCCATCCTTGGCGAGAAGAGAAACAAAGAAAGAAAAACAGAGAGAGAGAGAGAGAGAGAGAGAGAGATAGAAAAACACGCTACAACTTATCTTTTTTTTTGTTTTGCACGAGGCCGAAAACGAGAAGGACGCGAGTGGACCTGCCATGGCACCCCGTGGTGGATCCTCCTCCCACGGTAGAGAGAGAGGAAACGCTCTGATACTCTTTTCGATCCAGATCGATTAGCTTCTTACGATGTATCGTGGCGACTATCGCGTAGAATTTCAGCTCCCTCTCGGCCAGGAAGTATGTAAGACTCGCGATCGATAAAAAGTCGTCGTTACGAAGAGAAAGAGGACGATGAGAAGACGGAGAAAAAAAGAAAGAAAGATAAATTGATAGAAAGAGAGGAAGATGTCGTTTTACGCAGTTTTCTCCGCGTTCCTTGGACTTAACTTTATCCGAGATACTCTCAACTTTTCTTTCCATCGAATTTTTCTTTTTTTTTCTTATTATTTTTTCCCCCTTTTTTTCTTTTTTTAATTATCCCTTTGCGTTTTGAGATTTACGAGAGGTAATGGACGTTTACGTTAGGGTGATAAAAAGAAACAAATCTGAGACAGTAGAAGAATTAGACGTTTAGAATTCCAAGTTACACCGATTCAAATGCGCGATAGCTTGTAATCGTTGAAATTTACTTTTCCTTGATTAGTTGTTTTGAAAAAAAAAATTCTTCATACTTAAGAAAATGTAATATTGCTCAACGTTATGAGAACTAGTAGAATGGTAAGAACTTCATCTGGTATTCGAATTTGTGTTAGAATGTTGTTGTTGATAAGAACGGAATCCATAAAAGAACATAGTGTCGGAAGAAAAAAAAACACTAAAAGCAAAAATAAAATGATTTTACGAGAAGGCTCGTAAAACGGAAAGTTCAACTAAATTCAAACGGAGAGTCATTAGCGGTGGCACGTTGCACGTGACATTGTGTGGCTGAGAGGTCGGCCAGGCAACGCTAGAAGTTTAGCAATCGTTTGCCCCGTTGCACGTGGAGTGGATATGAATCAAAACAAGTTATTCCGGTATAACTTGTCCGCCTCACAAAGAGCTGCCTTCGTTAATATTGTGTATTAAATAGAGTGCCACCGTAGTGCGCAGCTAAACGTTTAAATTAATTTGATACTTGCAAATTCACTTAATAGCGCTTACGAAACGGAATACGTTAATTACGTATGAAACGGAGATCAGTTACAAAGGTAAAAGGATCAACAAAAAAAAAGAAAACGAAAATATCAAATAAGAATTCGTTCGAATTCTCTGAAAGATAATCTTACTGATACCACTTCCCCATCACCCACGCTAATTTAATTACAACGTTCGATTACCTTTTCGATTTTAAATGGATTTTTCAGTGTGTGTATCTTTAATGAATCGTATGATTATCGTTTTGTTTTTTTTTCTGGTTTTTTGTTTTTAAAATTTTATAAATAGAGAGTACATCGTTTTAAGTTTACGTCTTGTAAGTAAGATCGAAATACCATAAGTAAGAGACGATATAATCGTTGATGCGTCGTAAATCGATGCGATCGGTTAAGAAAAGTCAATCGTGTACGGGATCAGTGATCGTGTACTGCATACGTGAATTAGGTCGGCGTTGTTAACGAGAAGGAAGGTAAGATAGAATAAGAAGAACCACGGAGTCGTGTCACAATGCATGCATAATACTATATTGCACTTCGAACGTTAAACTTCGATACCTACCTACTTACTTCTTTTTACTAAAACTCGCGAATGTTATTTATTAACACTGGAGCTACTATAACCAAGCAAAATTATTAGCTCAAATAAAGTGAGTTATCTAATATTGTTAAAAATATTTTTTCTTTTATTCCGAATTGATATTGAAAAAGAATTAAATTATTTAATAGTAAGTAATATTTTATTAATAGTGGATAATGTTAGTGTTGATCTGTTCAATATTTATGTCACATATATGCGCCATCTTTTTTTAAATAATATGCGTATATTATATATATTATAATATATATAATATGCGTATATATTATATATACGCATGTATGTATCATGCGTCATAGTAAAAAAAAAAATTATTTTTAAAAAAGACGCATATATGCGATACAAAAAGTTGACATGTTAAATGAAGATAGGATATTTGTCGTTAGATTCTAAAACGATTAGAAGATGATAAGAAGAACGTGGGAAGAAGTATTCTGTCATGAGAGAACACGAAGCGCACGTGGTGAGAGGCAAGATCTTAGCACTGTTGAGGAACAATGAAGAGCTACACGGTGTTTCGGTGTATAAAAAGACCGTACGGCGGCGTAGACGATGATCCGGAAATAAACGTGGCCATAAACGTAAACCGGATGCGTATATACGAAGAGACCAACGATGGAAAGAGAAAAGAAGAGGAGAGAAGAGAAAACGGAAAGAAAGAAAAAGAGAAGAATGACGAATGGTTAGCAACGGTTAAAAGCACAGCAGGTGACTCTTTCTCTTTTGCCAAGACTTGACAATTTCTATCGTGGTTTTAGGTTTTACGATTTCTAAGCTCGTGTTTAAACGATATCTAGAAATCTATCTACGTTTTATTTCTCACTTAGTGAACGAAACTTTCAACGCACTCGAAAAATTATTCGCAATCATCGCGATTTTAAAATTAAACGTATAATAATTTGTCAAATAATTAATTTACAATTTTTAAAATTTTAATTCTTCGTTTAATATTGTTACATTTTTAATCGCTTAATTTAACGATAATTATAATTAAAAACATATGTTATTAAAAATTGAATTTACACTAAAACCTAGTTTAATTGTTATTATTTTGTACCATGGAAAACGATAAAATGAGAAAGTAATTTAAAGGAGAAGTGTTTAATTTGCATTAAAACCAATATATTTCTTAAATACTTAAGTTACATTAAATCGTAAAAAGATATTTAACCGATTGCAATATAAATAGGCACAAATAAATATATTGTCAAACGTAAGGTAACTTAATTAAGGACGTGACTTTAAAACACGACTTATAGGAAAAACGTGCAAGTACGTATCAAAAGCTTGGATAATAATAAGAAAAAAGTGGGAGAAGCTTAGAAGTATACCTATTCGATTCTAAACGATGTATTTTGTTGATCGCTAGAAAAAGTAAGAGAAGGTTGATCGACGATAATGACTATATTTTATCAATACGAGCAACTGTTGGTCTCTTGGTCGTTGACGAATGGATGACGGTAAATCACCGGATGATCTCACCCGATGTGTTAAACTATTTTTAAAGAGAGACGTAATAAAGAAGCATGGTACCTCGTCAACGTCTAAAGTAAATACTTTCCTATAAGTACGCTCGCTTTGATCGACGAGAGAACGAACAGACGGACGGATGGATCGTCCGTTTAGGAGTTAGTTACATTTCACCGTAACGAGATTGAAGAAGAAAAAGAATCGACAGACCCACGTAGTCGAACTTACATGAGTATTTTGTAATCTATTGGGGGGAAGGAAGGAACGAACGAGCGAACAGACAAGTGATAAATGTTCTCAAAGAAATCAACCAACATTTTCTTAACCACTTGCCCTATAAAGACGTGCCACGCACGTCGAGATGCTTTTATTTCAAAACTGCGAGCGACGTGTACACCACGTCGATAGGCGTGCAAGTGTAATATTGTAGCACACGGCACGGCAACCGTAAAGTTAATTCGTAGGGCAAGTAGTTAAAGGATATAAAACCTAACAGAACAAACGTTAGTTACGATCTGCCGTGTAGCAAAACCAAGATACTTTTAACCCATTTGAATGATTAAGAAGAATGAAAAAAGCCTTTATCACCAATTTTTTAAAAATTATATTTAAGTTAAAAGATTATAAATAAAAATTAATTATATACTAGGGTGAGTTAAAAAGTTCTAGATCCAACGTAGGGAAAATTTATTTTTTCAATTAAATAAATTTAAAAAAAAAAGAATATTTTTTTATTGAAACTTAAAACTTTTTAATTCACCCACATATCTAAATATTTTGTATAAAAATTCTATGTCGACTATATCAAAGTTCATTGATCTGTAATTTAAAAAATAACATCAAAATTATAATACAAATTACGTAAGATTTTTATACGACGGATGAAAGAAAATTAATAGTATAAATATGCTGATAATATACGTGAGTTAATTTTGTACTGAAAAGATTTGAACCTTTAAACTTTTACCTTATCCTTGTCGAAAGTGGTCGAATGCACATTATATTCTAAACACGAATAGGAAGTTGATTCATTAAAATGAGAAATCATTGAAACAAATGTTTACGTAATTGATTATTGGAAGATCTTAAACCGAGGACACTCATTTCGAAAAGAACGTTCGTTAAAAGGAGGGTGGAAGGGAAGATCGAGAAGAAGAGGCGAATAGTGGGTAAGAGGGAGGAAGGATCAGTAGCGAAGATCGTGCCCTTTTCGATCGTAGCATAGGCCATAAATCAGTTGGCGATCTCGCCATAGCGAGCATTCCATCGTTACGGACGATGGAAGAAAGGTGCATCGCGCGAGGCCCCCGCATTAAATCGACGGTAGTCCTCTTGTTCAGAGAGAGAGAGAGAGAGAGAGAGAGAGAGAGAGAGAGAGAGAGAGAGAGAGAAGAAGANAGAGAGAGAGAGAGAGAGAGAAGAAGAAAAAGAAGAAGAAGAAATGCCCGGCCATTTTCGGATACCCTCTTGCAACGGGAGACAACGTTACCATTTAGGGTATAACCGAGGCGTCGTTGTGCAAGAAACAATGCCGGACATTTCGTACTTTATTCCTCTTCTTCTAACCCATTTAGAGATCTTCAGATATATATATTTTTCTTCTATAGAAAATAGATAAAACTCTTTTTATCTACTTAAATCATACCTACTATATTTCCTGATAAACTTTTTCTTTTTTTCTTTCCAATTATCAATACGTATAAGAAGGAAAACGGTTGAAATGGATATCAAGGAAGTTGATTGGTGACCTTTCAGCATCTTACTACGATGATACTCGAAGATCGATGATAATTGTTTTTCTAAGAAAGTAAAGCCGACGAAGATGGACAAATTCAACGGCGAGATCGTGTAAAGTACCGTTTCCCTTCGATGGAAAGCTTCGATTAAGCGCGACACGTTGGTTAAAGAGGTGGATTCGTCGGCATTACTGATAGATACTTTTATGGTGCTTTTCGAGATACGGTGGATCTTTCTGGTAGGCGGATCGACAAGATCCGAGTTATTTCTCTCTCTCTTTTTCATCGGGGTTCCTTTACCCCCACAGAATTGTTCTTCCTTTAAGCGGTTCAAGCTTTTTGCTGGATCATCACCAAGATGTAAGACACCGCAGGCTTCAGCCTAGTTTGGACACGTCCTCCGCGACGCATACAGATTTTCCTTCGTCCTTTTTCTCTCTTTCTCTCTCTAGTTTTATTCCTTTATCTTTCTCTTTGTCTTTCTTTCTCTTTCTCACTTTGTCTTTATCCCTTCACGGACTTCCAATCGTGACGACCACCAAGTATTCTTCCTCTTCGCTTTCCCTTTTCATTCTCTACCAAGTGATCGCCTTTTCTGTAACTTGGAAGAGTACTTCTCTTCGAAAGAGTCGGCGATAATTAAGGCAACCACCATTCCAACGATATCTACTCGACATTAACGAGTGTGTCTATAAAATATCCATAAAACAGTGTTATGCCATAAAGACATTTCCTTTTCTTTTACTTTCTGTTTTATTCTCGCGTTGAATTGTTTCAATTAGACCAAAAAAATAAAAATAAAAAATCAGGTCGAGAATATAATTATCGATTGAAACGAACAAAGTGTCATTAAATAACATGATTATAACGTATATAATGACTTTTCCACAAATTTTTTTTTTTAAATTTCCCTCCTCTTTTTCGTAAAACGTACGTTGCGTTATAACACATGGGCTTAAAAATCACGGGCCTCACACATATATGGCTTTAATAGGATTAAATCCATATGATTTTTTGTGATATGTGTATAAATTTCCCAACTGTCGAATAGTTGGTTCGTGAGATGTAGCATTTTGAGTGAAGCAGCTTTTGTTATTTTCAAAAAGATGCAGAAAAAAGATTTTCGTGTGTTAATAAAACAATGATTTTTATTGAAAAAAAATACTGTTGAAACCAAAGCTTGGTTTGATAAACATTATTCGGACTATACATTAGGAAAATCAACCGTTGAAAAGTGGTTTGCTAAGTTTAAACGAGGCGAAATGAGCGTCGAAGATGATGCACGCAACGAACGACCGAAAGAGGCTGTTACCGACGAAAACATCAAGAAAAACCACAAAATAATTTTGAATGACGTAAAGTAAAGTTGATTGAGTTAGCTGAGACTCTAAAGATATCAAAGGAACGTGTAGGACATATAATACATGAATACTTGGACGTGTGAAAGCTGTGTGCAAAGTGGGTGCCGCGCATGCTCACAATCGATCAAAAAAACGATGGCAAAGTTGTATGAATTGGGCTTCGAATTGCTTCCCTATCCACCGTATTCTCCAGATCTGGCCCTCAGTGACTTTTTCCTATTTGCAGATCTCAAAAGAATGCTCACTGGAAAAAAATTCAGTACTAATGAAGAGGTTATCGCTGAAACTGAGGCCTATTTTGAGGCAAAAGATAAATCGTTCTACAAAAGTAGTATTGAAATGTTAGAGCGGCGCTGGAATGATTGTGTTGCTCTTGATGGAGATTATATTGAGGAATAAAGCCAATTTTGATCGAAAAAACCGTGTTTTCTTTGTTAGGCCAGAGACTTTTCAGCCAATGTGTTATACGTTAACTTACGTAAATTTATAGAGAGCACACAAAAGACGTACATTATGTATTTCATTATATGCATGACCACTGTATGTGGTATATATATATATATATATATGAGGGTCGTAAAGAAGAGACGATAAAAAGTGGACGAGATCCATATAAGAACAGAAATCGATTTGAGAGATTCGAATGTTGTATACGTGCAGGTATGTACGTATACATGTACATATGTATATTAACTTTATCCATTTCATCGTAATTTTATATCTGACGATGGCATGTGTTGTACCCCCCATCGAAATAAACAGAGCTTATTTAATCAACAAGTTTTAAAGTTGATTTAAGAAAGCGAGAAAAGGAAGTAATGAAGAAAAGAAAAGGATTCTTCGTTAGGGATTTCTTTTTTGTTTTTTATCATTATTAATAACGATCGTTGACCAAACGATTCTACGAGAGAGTTTTAAAATGAGTTCGTTTTAAAAGAGTCAATCGAAGTGAAAACCTGTTTTCCGCATATTCATTTAATAAGAAACAAGAATATATAAGATAACTTAGTGATGTACGTATATAGATCGTTAGTGAATTTGAATTCCTAGTTAACATAAGAAGACATCTTCGTGTCTTTTGAAAAGTTGTTTCTCACATATTGATTGAAAATTTCAATGCTTGGACTGACCAGTAAAGGGATTAAGACGACTATACAAAAATATTCATGAGGTTTATATTTTTTATTGCAATTTATGTTTATAATAATCTTCATTTCTAAGAAGTATTATTAAAGGGTCTTTTATAATCTCAAGGTAGTCTCTGATCGCATGAAAACTGTTTTAATCAAATCGATGATTCAGAAACGCAAGAAAAAAAATTAGAATGACAGACTCTAACATTAAATTCTCTCATTTCATTTCGTTCGTACTTGATTACATAAATTAGTTCGAAAATATATGTGTATCTTCGATCATGATACTTGTTATGTTTGTCGTCTTACATATTCAGTATTAGATTTCTTGGTGTGACTGAGACGTTCGACCTCGATGAGGTAACTCGGTGAGTTTCGTGTCACCGTTTTACATCGGACAATGCAAAAGAGTTAGACGATAGGAGTGGTGTGTTAAAAAGGGAGAACCTTTTGAGAGAGCCTTAATTGATTCCATTTCGAGATACTTTAAATCTAGTTTCTGTCATCGTCTACTATTACATGAAGAAAAAATCAATGAACTATACAAAAGGCGTAACGAATTCAGTACACATTAAAAGGATACAAAAAGGATTTTATTCTTTACCTCTTAAAAAAAAAAATAAAAAAGAACCAAATATTCTCAATAGTATATAATTGCAAATATCAGGGATCATACCTTCGTCTTATTGTAAAAGGTTTAGAAAAGGAGGAAATTCTTAGTCGGCAACTCCGGAGGCTGTATATCAAGTATTACTTATGTGTGTATATGAACAGGATAGAATTGATGCGTGGGCACATACACGAGGACAATTATTATTACGAGTGGTACAAAAAGGACAAATGCATTCTTCATGAGTTCTCTCGTTTGATACCACACGACGGCAACGACAACGATGACAACAACGATGACAACGACAATGCACACGATCCGTTTTGAGGAGGACAGTAGTTTCGCATTTAAAAGCAAAAGAGTGCTAAATTGACGCTTATTTTATGCTGAGTTTCTACCTACGTCCAGAACACCAGTTGTGTAACGCACGATTAGCTTAGCTAGCTAGCTAGTCAGCTAATCCTAACTCTGGGTTGAAGAAAAATGAGGAGAGATCGCGGTTACGTCGCAATGCTATTATCAAAGCGACAAATCGAGTTTAATTTTCGAATGATCTGGTAGAACAGGCGTTACGCATCTAACCCGTAACTACTTATTCGCGAGATGTTCAGAACGTATCGCACAACCTTCCTATTATTCTTTTTCTTATTCCATTAACTCCTTCTCGCTTAAGAGCCATTACTATCTCGCGGTGTTTTTGCAATGACCTGCCTACGTGATGAAGAATCTTTATGGGCTTCCTTCTATCTCTTTCTTTCTTTTTTTCTTAATTTTCTCTTCTATTCGCGAATAAGTACTTAAGATTTTTTTTTCTTTATGTTTCTTGCGGTTAGATATACGTGCATTGCGTTTTTCACCTCATCTCTTTGTATTCTTACTCTCTCTCTCTCTTTCTCTGTTCTTTTTATATGAAAAGTCTATGTCTCAAAAGAAGACGTTCAATCGATCGTGTTTATGACACAGCAAAGATTAATCCTCTTAGTTGTATTGAGGAGAAGAAACATGTTATTTAATCGTTTGAAAATCCTCCACCTGTTTTTACCTTTCTCGGTACTCATTTTAAGAGCTCATAAAAATCATTTTATTACAGATTGCGAATCATACTTCCACAGTCGCCGGAAAAGACGATGCTTGGATAGATTTGTTCACTCAGGAAACGGTCACGGAGCAATCATCACCAAAGAGCGGTATAACTTTTTTAATGACTAAGTTATAATTATTCTATTTTTGTTTTATTTCTAATTTTTATTTCCATTTTTCTCAGAATCTTCAAAATTATCTTATTTTACTAATTGGAGCGAGTGGTCGGTTTGTGATCGACATTGTTCACAAAATCGTGTCAGAAGATGCATGACAAAGAGTCAATGTGGTACCACTGTATTTAGAGTAAGTGTTAACGCAATTAAAGCAAAAAATGATCATTATGTTAAAAATATATTATTATTTTTACAGGAAGAACGTACTTGCGAACATAAGAGAAAAGGACGAAGAAAAAGATGCAAGCAACGTCAACGTCGAGGACAACGGAAATCAAAAAATTTTCACGTAGTACAGGTGAACATTAAGTTGATTAAAAACAAATTTGTAATTAAGAAGAATTTTTGTGTAAAAATATTAAATATATTAATCGTATGGAATTTTGGATAGTTGCCAAAAGAAACAGCACCTAGGCATGGTAAAAGAAGAGGTACCGATGTCCAAGATCAATCTAACAATCATTATGGCAAATGGAGCAAATGGTATCCGTGTACAAAGCTGTGTACTACCCAGCGTTACAAGCAAGTTGATAAATTACTAATTGATGTTTAAAAAGACAGAAAATAATTGAATAATTAATGAAATTATTTTGGATTATAGGTGGTGTAGAAAACCTGGGATCTGTGGTCGTGATGTTATACGAGAAAGTGCTTATTGTTACGTCGAAGGAAGCTTCTGCCAAAAATGGATAGACCGAAAAATTCGTGGAAGTCGAGAGAAAGATAACGATGGTAAAAAAATCTACACGAAAAATAAAAAAAATTATGAAAAAATAATGTTAAAGACGAAACTAACATAAAAATTTATTACAGACGTGATATTAGACGAATTCGAATTGAATCCCAACTCTGTGGACAGTTTTATTCCTGAGAAAGATCAGCCAGCATGGAAATGCGGTATGGTGAATCCTCAGAAAAATTCTAGACTTTCTTATGTCACTCGAATCATCGGTGGTCGTCCAACCGTACCAGGGGCATGGCCATGGCAGGTGGCTGTATTGAATAGATTTCACGTAGGTTTTATCGAGATAGAGAATTTTATTTACCAGCCTAGCGAGTCGTTTACATTTTTATCGCACAGTCTCGATTCTATAGGAAGCATTTTGCGGAGGAACTTTGGTCTCGCCGAAATGGGTCTTGACTGCCGCCCACTGCATAAGAAAACGCTTATACGTTCGTATCGGCGAACACGACTTAACGGTGAAAGAGGGCACTGAACTGGAGCTCAGGGTACTTGTTCTCCTCGCATGCTTATTTCCGTTTAAAGTAACCGTTTATAAGTCTATATATATACATACATAAACATATATAAAGTGTTTGAACCTTGGAGCAATTACTTGGTGCGCATTATGGCTAACACGATATAATCGTTGCAGGTGGACTCGGTGGTAATACATCCAGAATACAACGCTGACACGGTCGATAACGACGTTGCCATGTTACGTCTTCCAGTTAATTTGACTCCATCTCCCTCAAGAGGGATAGCTTGTCTTCCAGCACCGAAACAACTTTTACCTACGAATCAATTGTGTACTATTTTAGGCTGGGGCAAATCCAGAGTGACAGATGATTTCGGTACCGATATTCTTCATGAAGTTAAGGTATATATCAGTTTATAACTATTTGAATTTTTTTTTAAAGAGCTAAATTTATTATTTATTTTGTTTCGTAGATACCCATAGTATCCTCGAAAATATGCCGACAAGTTTACGTGGACTACAGAATAACTGAAAATATGTTTTGTGCCGGTTATCATCGTGGAAAAATGGATTCCTGTGCTGGTGATAGTGGTGGACCTTTATTGTGCAGAGATCCCCGAAGACCCGATCACGGTTGGACTATTTTCGGCATTACCAGTTTCGGGGAAGGTTGTGGGAAACGTCGCAAATTTGGAATTTACACTAAATTGCCCAATTATGTGAAATGGATTTTGAGAGTCATGAAACAAGACGATGAACGTAATTAGAGAAGTTTGATAAAATGTTGATCGAATGTTTGGTGAGAATGTAAAAGGAACTATGGTGTTGTAATTATATTTGTTAACAGTGCGATTATTTTTTTAAAAAAAGGACTGCATGTGCTGAGTGATATCTTTGATGTTTAAGTATTAATATTAGGTAATTAATAAAATGTAGAAATTAGAAAATGATTCTTCGTGTAGTTAATTAATAACTTCGTTACATTTTTCTAATAACGCATTTGCATGAACCTTTGTACGCGATATATAGAAGAATTATGAATTTATTTTTTCTTTTGTTCATATACTCCAAACGATGGAATTGTATTCGAAAATTCTTTATTCAATAATAAGAAAACGTAATATCTACAATGATAAGTAAAAATGAAAAACGTATTATTACATTGTGTAGGTTGTCTGTACTCATTATTTTGTTCGCATTATTTTGTAGGAATGAGAGAAATGCAATGTGAGTTGAACTTAAGTAGACAAAAAGGCGAGTTTAAACATGACAACATAGTTCTCTGTTTTACAACAGTTAAATCGATTCAACGTAGCAGAGAGTGCTGCCATCATATGGCGTTCTTTCATTACAAAACAGCCTACGTCTTGTTTGTACAGAACTGTCAAGTTCGAAGAATGCAAGGTTGCTATGATATAGTTAACGAAATAAAAAGGAATACTTATAATACGTTTTTTCCATTCGACTCTTAAAAGACCTGTATACGTACATCAACAACGAGTTATAGAACATTCGCCATATAAGGATGAAACCTGTTCATATTGAATGACTTTTGTTTGATCAAATAGATTAAAATGTAATTTTAATTAAATTTACACTTGGAGAAGTCCATCTCTGGATGTTGCTCCATGAACCTGAAAACCAAAGCATTTATCAGATAAGGCAAGAAAAAAAAGAAGATAAAAAGAAAAAAAGAATCAGTAAAGGCAAGCACACAAGGATTATACTTTAGATAACTGGAATCTTACTTTTTGATCACATCCTGTTTCTTCTGTTCATCCGAAGTCGGCAGTCCGAGTTTCCTTTGGCTTTGATCGTACATCATCTTCTCAACGAGACCTCTGGTTTCACCGTCAAGGTCGGACAATTTACTTGGTTCAGGATTAACTTTCTTAGTGCTAATCTCGGGATCGCAAGTTACCACGTGAGCCCACCATTGCATTTTGTTCACCTAAGATCGAAAAGATTTTCCAGGAAATTTCATTTAGTTCTAAATTGTAAACGAAAACGTTCGATTAATGATAGATAATAATAATGATAAAGAAAATTATTCACTTTTTCTAAATTGATCAAAAGAACTTTGCCATCTTCTATCAACCACGTAGACTCTTCTAATTTGACCTCATGAGGAAAATCACCGTCGATAATCGGAGGTTGTCCTTTGACACCACAGGTAAGATGTTTTTTCGTTATCGTCACAGACACGTCTTTCTGTCTGGCGGAGAAGTTGATTTTCAATGGCACTCGTATCTAAAAAAAAAAATCGAACTTTTCAATAAGCTTGTCTATACAATAATACAAAGTAATTAATTTTTATGACCAAGTACAAAAACTATAAAAAAAATCATCCCACGATCTCTCATTAACTCGATCTTACACAATCGATCGAGATCTCTTTCGACCGAAATTCAAGAGACGCGAGTAGAATGGAAAGGTAAAACAAACGATTCGTAACCCATGATACGATAAAAAAAGAAATAATTTTCACAAGAGTGGACCCCCGTGGATAAATACGGAGGGGATCGATGGTAAGACAAAAAAAATCAAATGGCGACGATTGATCGATCGTAGAGAGGTAGTTTCGATCGTTCTGCACAAGCGAACTTTCAGATCTTCTTACAATATATCTCGATATTTGTTGGGATCGGATGATCGCATGACACGACCTCGAGAAATCAACGTAAGAACGCAACAAGGATTGGTATATAGATTTGGGAAACGATACTAGTGAATACAATACGATTGACCTTGAGTATTTTTGAAAGGACCTTGAACGAGTTAGAGAACGCATTGGTTAATGTTCTTTGGCTCTTTTTTGTTTTATATTTTTAAAATAAAATACGAAATAAATAAATGTAAAGAAAGAAAGAAAGAAAGAAAGAAAGGAATACGATGATATCGTAATGGTTACGTGACACGCGAGATGGCAAAGGTCCTGCCGTGTTATTCCTGGCGTCTCCGTACCCGTCTCCTTTTACTTTAATTGCTAAAGAAAAAGAAAGAGAGAGTAGGAGAATCATCAATTTGGATCTTGGCACCGGGTTTAAACTTCGTTATTGTTGAATGTTGTTGGTTAAGGGTCAACTCTGGACCGGTCACGTTGCAGAAAAGGTGGCCTACATGAAAGTCCGGCATAATCTAGAAGCTAGATCAAATCTCTCTCTCTCTCTATCTTTATTTTTCTCTCTTTAAACTAAATTAAAAGTGCAATTTAATTACACGAACTCGCGACCGATTCTATTGCGATATCTCACAGGTCAACAAAGTGTGTGTGTATCCTTTGTGTGGGTAAGATTTCATTGTAGAAGAATCAACGCGTCACTTGATCAAAATTAGAAACAACATTTTTGAAGAATAAGAAGAAAAAGATGGTTAACTGATTGCACGTAACGATCAATTATTTTTCTATAACGGTAACCTTCACTTTTCTGCAAGAAGTTTGAATAATGATGTAACTTGACTTATTTTTAAACCGTGGATGCATTTATCGTTGACGTCATCGTTGTTAAGATCTTCTGTATTATTAACTTCTATTAACGACAAATATGTTAATGATAATAATTAGATCTTAATGAGCCTCATTGTAAATTTTCAATCAAAGCAAAAAGTCGTTCTTCTATGCCGTTACTTATTACACTCTCTTACGCAAAGAAAAAACATAAAGAAGAAGAAAAAGAATCTATTACGCAAAAAAAGATCGCGCAAATATGCGATTATCAAGTGAGATTCGAAAAGTGGTTTTTCGTGTTATTATTAGCACAAGTTGATCGGTTTCTTCTTCTTCTTCCCTGCCATGGGAAATATAATCTCTTGCGAATATGTCTAAGCGAGCACCATAAATTCGTAAAAAAAAAAAAACATACGCGTATTTAATTTAAAAATCCTAGATGATCCATCGAGCGTGGTTCAACGAATGTTGCAATTCTCGGTATAATTGTAGGCAATGAGCGAAGAGCTAGTTGGATAGAAAAGAATAAAAAAACAAAAAAAGACAACTAAGAAAACTAAGTAAAAAAAGAAGAAGAAGAAGAAGAAGAAGGGAATAAAGAAGAGATAGAAAGAATCGGTTAAAATGCGATGGCTACTATGAACGTAAGCGAGAGCAAGAGAGGATGGATCATAATTCTTTTGAAGACGCGTCAGAAGAGAGACGTGTTCTTGGGTTTCCAGCGTAACGACAAACTCACGCGAGTTGTGCCAATCTTATGCTACGTAGCCGGGTGCACCGGTGCGTGGAAACGGATCATGGCTACAGACTTTGTGCCCGACGTTAACAAAGTGGAATATCATTATAAAGAAGGCAGTACGCGAACAGGACGCGGCTCTAACTGAACGACTTGTATAAAAGTGATTTCGAACAGAAAAATACGAATTATTATGATATACACTTTTTTGAGATACTCGGTAAAATAAAAATAAAATAAAAAATATAATTTTTATCACGAATCTTACAAAGAATAAAGAAACAAAAAGAAAAAAAATGAAATGAAAAAAAAAGAAGAAATAAGATCGTAATCACAGAGTCTTTGTGCTGATTAACATCACTAATTACAATCACGTATTTTGACGTAGGCAAGAATTTAATTATAGGCGAATTTTAAATATATATACAGGTTACCCTCCTACAACACTGCATCTTATAACATGGTTTCGGTATAACACGATTCATAAATTGCAGGAAATTCTCCTACAACACGGCATTCTATAACACAGTTTTCTTTCAAAAAACCTTTGTACAACACTGGACTTCTACAGCCGTGGCGAGGCTTGCCGTCTTAAAGATAAAGTGTTGCGGAAAGTATTTCTTTTCATCTCCATGGCCTGAAAACAAAAGTCTCATACAACACGGTTTCACACAACACGGCATTTCTAGGAACCTATCTACCGTGTTATAGGAGGGTTATCTATATATACACACGTGTAAATCGCATCTATGAAACGGAAGTTGAGAGGGCTTGTTGGGAATCGATATGGAAAGTGTATGCGACGTTTCTCGTGCAAAACGTTGAAATAACGTGAAATTAATGAGATCTTGTTAATTGAGAAACATGCAAGTTAAGTGTACTTTACTGCTTCACTCGATTCACGTTCAATTCTGGTTAAACATTTCAAGTTGTTTTCATTGTTCTCTCTTCCAATACGTAGGTGTGTATGTATGTAATTATATAATTTTGCAGGTATACGAGAATTATATAATAGTTTCGAAGAAACGATTTCGACCGTGTGAAGTCCTCGATGAAAGAGACAGAGAAAAAGAGAGAGAGAGAGAGAGAGAGAGAGAGAGAGAGNGAGAGAGAGAGAGAGAGAGAGAGAGAGAGTGAGAGAGAGAGAGAGATGTTTATAAAAATGAACGTCATTGAACTAGAAAAGACAGACTGTGAATATTTTTCCTATGTTCTTTTTTTATATCCTTCCGTCTTATTTTTAACTAATATTATGTTAAATATTCCAAACCTCGTGTGAAATACACAAACGGCTACACATTTCATGTTTCTTTTTTCTTAATATTCAACATGATATTTGCATAAAATAACGCCAATGTTCATCCACATTCGCAATACGAGAAACTTGCGAGATCTGCATTCGAATATCCCAAGATGGATACGCATTGGTTATACATGTAAGTTCTCTGTAAATGTATTGGTCAGCCGCATGATAATCGACGAAGATTATTCGAACTTAATAGGAAATTCTGTTGGGATATTGGAGAAATCTCTGAGATCTTTTATAATTTATTTCATTAAAAATAAATAAAAAGGTCTCACGTTGAAACAATGACTTCTTATCTAATGTAAACACCCGTTAAAAGTACACCTAACTACTTAACCAATGAAACTCGCAATTACATGCCCAAAGTTATTCTTGAATTTGTTGGAATAAAAAATTGCAAAAGTATGGATAAATGTTAAGTTTATATCTCTAAACTTATTGTGATCGGTTTTTTTATTTTAGGTATTAAAATTATGCATTTAATGTTACTCTTTGTTTAACAGTAAGACAATTATAATTACCTATTTCGTTTGATTTATTTTACAAGTTTATTGTAAGCAATATGAATTAAGTTAAAGACCAATTTACTTAACAACGATATAAATAATAATCATAAATAATAAACTGTTTATATATTTAATGTTAGTCCTTTAAAGCATCATAAAATTAAACCACATAAAAAAAAAGAAATTAAAATTATTTGAAGCACAGTGTTTTATAATTCTTCAAAACTGAAAATAATTCTATTTGGTGAGAATAAAAAAAATTTTTGATACAACTTTAGCTTTTTTATTTTTCATAAATTCCATGCTACAAAATATTAAGTGTAAGCTTAATTTTAATTTTTTTTATATCACTAAAGTAATGAAAAACGAGTTAATACAAATAATCTAGGAACGCTAAATATTAACATTATTCTAAACGAGAGGACGATAGCGTAGAAAAATCATCAATGACGCGTTCGTTCGTTCGTTATTGTAACGATTGTTGTCGTCACACAGCAGCAGCATAAGCGACTTCGAAGGTTGCGATCGGTCTTCGAGAATCGATTTATTTGGCGCTTCGCCGGAATCCTTGATACTAACTAAGGATCGGTCACGTAGCAAACGATTGCGTAAACGAATAGTTTGCTCGTTGCTCATGCCATCGAATTTCTGCGGATTTTTCGAAACGGAATTAATCGATCTCAAATAAACAGATATATAATAAACAGATTTCGAAAAAATTATAGTAGACAGATAAAGAGCCTTTTTCAAAGTTTCGATTTGTTCATTGAATCGATCGTTAAAAAATAAAATAAACAAAACAAGTAAATAAAAATATAATTTTTTTTAATATAAATAAAAATTTATCAATATTCTAAATAGACATTGATCAATATTTATAATAAGGAACAGGATTGCGTTAGGATTATATATTGATATTTTATTATAAATACTGACCATAAATTTATTTCATAATATAAGAAATACTAAAATTAATATCAAAATACTATCCCGATAAATGGCAATCTTAATTTAAAATCGATCATAATGCTTATTCAATAATACAAATCGCATCTCGTTGCGATCCAAGGACTGCTAATAGGATATTTTAAATTGCTAGGATATCTAAATGCAAACGAAACGGGTTCATGACAAGGTTCTTTTAAATTATCCAGTTGATGATTATAGAGGCTACAGAGAAAGAGAAAGATTAGAAACCAACTTTCTTAGGAATAAAGAAAGATATTTGATCGTAAGCTACGATAACGAAACTAT